CTACTCTTGGGCAAAACCGACAAGGGTTCGTGATTTTCAATTGATATCATGTAATAAGAATATTTTATTGTAAATTTTTAACCGATTTTTATGCTAATCCATTCAAAAAGATTCTTTCTATAGTTTGTATCAATGGAAGAACCCTATCTATGGATCTCCATTGAGTATTATTCATTCAATAAACTTGATTCATAGTAAAGAGAGAGAGAGAGAAAGAGAGAGAGAGAGAGTGGGTTTAGTGAGGGTGGAAAATAATCTGATGGTGGTGGAGAAAGTGGTGAAAATATCAAGCCTAGAATATCAAGTTAACCATAAAAAACAAGTAAATCTCTTGATAGTTGATCAATTGAGAAATTTTTTTTCTATTCTATTTAAAATCGAAACATCAACATTTACTTTAAAATTAAATGTAAACTAATATGAACATTTTAAACTGAATTTAGAGAGAGAGAGAGAGATATTGAGTTCAATTGATGATGAATAATTTTCATAGGAATCAGTCAATTTGATCAATAGCAGATCAATAACTAACTGGTAAAATAGCCTTAGGGTCAATTCAATTTTAGTTTTCAATTCGTGTTGTTCATATTTACTTTAACTTATATTTCAATTGATATTGTGTTGGTATTGGAAAGAAATAAAATTTTCATTGATAAATCAATGGTTTTTTCATCGTTATTGTTAAGATAAACTTTGTTTAAATAATATCATCACTTGATTGCTGGGCAAATGGATTATGGTTAATGATGATCAATGGATTAAGGATCATAATTTAAAAGTCACGTGACTTGATGGTTATCAAAATGATGTAAAAGATTGATCATATTGGCTTATTATAAATATAATAGTGATGAAATTGTTAAGAAATTACAATTGCTGCTAATTATCATGATAATAATATGATTGATTATCCACTGATAGAGAAAGAGAGACACAAAGGGAGTGAGTTAGAGGGATGATGATGATGATAATAATGATGATTGGTGGTTAATCATGATAACAGATAGGGATTGATAATGTTACTGGGATATGTTGACATATTATTAATATTGAGATTATGGTATCAGATTGGTGATACATGGTCATGATAATAATTTATTTATTGTCAGTTTGTTGTATTCTAATCATTTAATCATCAATTTTTGAATCAGAATGAAAAATTTAACGCTGAAAGAATTGATTTAATCCTGATAATCGTAATAGTAATTTATATATAGTATAAGATTTACTTCATTAAACTCAATAGTCTATTGGTCATTTATTGATCAATAAAAAAAGTCAATTTGTCAATGTTTTTTATGTATTATTAAGATGATCCAGTTGATCTTGAGAATTAAACTTAACAATTAACTCGATTATCAATCAATCGTAAAGGGATATATTGTGTTTAAATGTTTTCTCCATTGATAACAATTTATGTCGAGAAAAAATTTCATTCAAGTTAATTACAACTCGTTATCAAGTCTATGATCAATTTAAGGTATTAAAAGATGATGATGATGATGAAAAAGATGATTAAAAGTAAAAGATGAAAAGTAAATTAAAAAGAAAACGGGAAACCGTAATTAAGAAACTGAAATGATTACTAAATGTGATTAACTATTTTAAAAGGGATATAACATTAAATTGAAGATGTAATCATCAAGATATTATGATTAAAATGCCCTCAACATTGGAGCCTAATCAGGTTGATATGATTAACAATTATCACCCAAATTAGTTAGGAAAATATTAAGATTAAGATGATGAGGTTGATATTATCTTGATGACGATGATTAGATTAACTTGCAATTGGAGCTTAATCTCTTTTCTTTAAGTTTTTTTTTCTCTTCTCCTTTGGCTCAATAATAATATTACATAGAATCAATTTGGAAATTTATTCAATCAATGATAACATGATGATGATGATTGTAAATTTCAATGAATAATCATTAAGATGATCAGTAAAAGAATCAAGTAAAGTAAGAAGAAAAAAATACTTCTTTCAAGTATTAATACACAAGGATGAGGATTAAAAGATTAAGATTTTTGAAACATTGTAACTTGCAAATGTGTTAAGTAAAATTGGAAAATCAAAATAAAAGATTAACTCATCTTCATGATATTCAGGATCAAGGATTAGACAAGTGACATGAGTTGAGAGAGAGAGAGAGAGAGAGAGAGAGAGAGAGAGAGAGAGAACTTTATTTTTGTAAATGTGACCTTTTTCATATCAATTCGAGTGTCAAATCGTAACGGAAATGGATTAAGATTATCTATTCTCTAAATAAACAATATCATGGATAAACAATAGATAAATGGTTGATCTAATGATAACTGTAATAAATAACATCTAAATCCTTTTATATTCTGGAATAAGATTATCTTTCATTTCATTTTTTAATAAGAATCTAGTTTATCGTCATCATCATCATCAGTCATATTGAATTCAAGATAATAATCATACTACTTCATTATCATTTCAAAGTCGATTTAATTTATTAGCTTGTGGTAGTTAATTCGTGTAAATCAACAACAATCAAACACGATGAGTATTATTATTGATCAATATGATGTTTGAACAATATGATAGACGATAATCATTGTGACCCCCCAAAGTAAAGATTAACCAACAATTTGGCTTGATGATTTATCTGAATATACATTCATCATGAGGTGAGAGAGATGAAGATTAAGAGGGTATAAGAAGAGAGATTAATCTGATTGTGAATCATTTAGAATGAAAAATTTCCATGAAAACATGAGAAAAAAGTTTTCAATCTTTAAAGATTCATTCAGAATCAAGAGTCTCTCATCTCTGAGAATCGGCAAAGGAATTGATCTTTAACGAAAACGCTCAATTGTTTCATTTCACCTTCGGTACTTTTTTACCATCAATTTTCAATCTCTTTACTTTTATTGAAAGTTTCATGAAAATTCAATCTCCATATGATAATAAATCGCTTTTACCTCAATCCTAAAGTTTTAATACCTGAAGATTGAATTTTTTGGTTACTCAATTCAAGTGATAAAACTTTACTATTCAGGTCAACTATCTGAATCTGGAGTTAACCATGATTAAGGTGATTAGTTAGTTAGTAACAATTTATTATCAATGTATTATCAGTTTGATTAATCAATCAGACAGACGTAACTTTTGCTCTCTCTCTATCTTAATTCAGTTATTCAATATATGTCATGATAATAATCATAATAATTGCATGGGGACAATATAGCATTTGAATTTCAACATAATCAATATGAGAAAAAGATTATATTTAATTTCTCCCTCTCTCTCTCTCTCATAATATTAGATTATTGTTTTTAATTTTTCTTCATCATTAACTAATCAACTAACCTTTTTTTACTCAGATTAGATAGAGATCATGATTTATTTTGTAACTTAGGTGTAACTCAGTTTGATAAAATGAATTATTATCATCATGATAATGTGAATCAAGAGACACAATCAAGTAATGTTCAGTTTATTTTTTTTTTATTGACTGGATAATCATGAAAACCATTCAGATTCGGGATAAATTCAGACATGATGAAACCTATGATAAAATTTTCTGACCTGAAAATATGAACTTATCATGTTATAAATATAAACTCAATAGTTTTTACAACAACAACAACAAAAAATAAGACTCAAAATCCTGATACATACAAATATAACCTGAGAAATAATCATGATAATGAACTTGAGATGGACACTGATTAAATTAGTAAAAGAAAAAGTTTAATCAACTGAATTAAACTGATTATCTAAATTAATTTTTCTCTCCAAAGGTGATAAAAAGAAACTCCTAATAAATATATCCACGGATTAATCCGATGTTAATGTTAATCCATCTAATGATGATGATGAAAAATTTAATAGCTCAAGTATTGATAGAAAGAGAGAGAGAGGAAAAATAAACTAATAGGATAAATTGTTGTTCAATTGATCCTCATTGTATTTATCATGTTGAATTGGTGAAAATTTAAATTGCTGATAATGATCAAGTATTAAATTAATGTTAACCATTGAAAGATACTAAAATATATGTACGAAATCAAGTGAATATAACATTTTGAGAGGGACAACAACAATGAGATGTAATAATTTGATGGTTAAACATTAATACAAGAAATATATGATTAGCAGGATAAAGAGATGAGTCCATTGGATAAGCTTTGGATAACTTTAAATCTACAGGGAGTTTGAAAAAAAAATTGCACGCGGACAAAACATTGAGATAACATTGATAGATAGTCAATTTAACATTGGGTTTTTTTAGATCTCAATTTATTATATAATTTACATTGAGTAAATTTCATCAGTTGATGGTTATAATTTTTCAATGTCGTTTCATTTAAAGCTACTGGTTGAGGTCATTTAATGGTCAAAGTTGACTTGCTATCAACTTATTGGATTAATTTGGTTTTTCTTTTTTAAGATTATCAAAAATTTAGTATATATTACATTCACTTGGTGCTAGGAAATAACGGAAATTAAGATGATTCCGGAAGTAGATTGTTAGATAACATCTTATGTACAGTTTTTTGCTTCTTCTCATTCTATTGCATTAGTTTCTAGCATTTCTCTAGACTTTCAGTAAGATGGGTGATGTATTGTTAACTAATGGTCATCAATTGGTAGTTATTGCAGAAGTAAAAAAAAGTGATGAGGATGCTATTGTAACCCAAGTGATGACATTATAAAAAAAAGGAACAACAAAACATCAAGTGTGTCACAGAGGTAACGGAAATGATGACAAGGGTTTAGAGGGAGGGGGAAATGATACAAAGAAACTATCAACAATATTATCATGTATCATGTGTATTTGTAATTCATATATCATGATATTGATCATTAACGGTGATACTAATGATTTGATGGATTGATTATTAATCATTATTGATTGGAATATTATTTTTTCTCTTCTTATTCTTGTACTGATAAAAAAAGAGCATGATAATATTAAATGTATGTTAATATGATCATCTAATGAGAAATGATTATAATCTCAACTTACCTTGATTGAACTATGGCTGCTTGAGCTGCTGTTTCAACGCTTTGATGATGATGGTGATGAGGATGATCTTTGACGCCAGTTCCAACTCTAAATGATTAAGATGATGAATGATGAGGATGGAGAATGATGTATTTAAGATGGTTTTAGTTAGATAAAGATGATAATGATTCCATGATGATTTTGTGTTCCAATGGTGGTAAAGACACAATGACAAATAAACACAAAGAAAATAGAAAGAGAGAGAGAGAGAGAGAGAGAGAGAGAAAATTAGATCAGTAATTATCGAGGAATATGAGAGAGATGATTTTTTGCTTCTTTTGCCAATGATGAAAACGATGAAAGGTTCAGGTAAACGCTTTTTATTTACCTTAAATTGTGAATTAACTTACTAACTAACTAGTTTCAATTAACTTGTTTTAACCTTCAAGTATTACGAGAACAGATGAGTGAGAAAGAAAGAGAGGAAGATAAAGTGGAAGATTGAGATTGAGAGAGAGAGAGAGAGTGAGAGATACGAGGGGGGAGGGTAGATGATAAAGGTATAAGATGATGGTGATGGTGAGAGAGAGATGAGTAGGATGAATGATTATGGAGGTGAGAGCAAAGAGGAAGTTGAAATGATGATGATAAGCAAATGATGTAATTGTGATGATAAATTCACAGGTAAAAGTCACTAGACATTAATAGTAAGGGAATGGGACAATTACTAATAAATGTTAATACAACTTTAATTCCCATTGAATTATCATCTTAACACAAGAAAGAGAGAGAGAGATGATCATCTTGGACTTTAGTTTTCTCCTCCTCCCTCAATCTTATCATCTTCATCATTATCATTAGGAAACCTGTGTTACATAATTGGGTTAATCTTACCCACGGAAATTTTTGATTAAGTTTAATGAAAAAGTTTAAATTGTTTATCAATTTGTTTTCCACTTAAAAGTATCAAGATTAATGAAAAACTAATCTCAAGATTAAAAGATTAACCTGAAAACTTTTGTTTTGACAATTAACCTTCAATTTTACTCTCAAAACATTTCATTTAATGGATTTAGGAAATGTCATCGATAAGAGGTGATTTTATAATAGATGAATTAATGGTTTGTATAAATTGTAACACAGTTTAATTGCAATTTAAATTGTTATAATTACGAGATTTGATCTTCTTTTTTGATATGTTTAAGAAAATTTTTCATTTGAATGAAATCGAGACAAACTGTGATACTAATAGTACATATATTAATATCATCAAGTGAATGATTATCTCAATGAAAATGATGATACGATGGAAAAGGACAATAATTGATCAGAGATTGAAGCGTAAAGAGAGCGGGAGGAGAAAGTGAAAAAGGAAACTCAATATTAGGTGAATGATCCTCCACAACTCACACTGAATTAGACGAACAGAAGGAGAAAGATGAAGATGATGATGATGAAGAAGATGCAAAAACAAAAAGACTTCTTGCTCTCTCTCTCTCTCTCTCTCTCTCTCTCTCTCTCTCTCTCTCTCTCTCTCTCTCTCTCATCATCTTTACTTATCATCCTTTTTTTACTTTTACAATGTTAGTGAAAATTAAAGTGATATAACTTACACACTAGTCTTTGCCTCGAGGCAAAAGTATCTTTTCCATCTCACTTTCTTTCAACTCCCACTTCCTCTCTCTCCCTTTTTCATCCTTGCTCTCTCTCATATTATCCTTCTGCCACTCAATTGCAAATGAATACACAAAACAAAATGATTTAACCAAAACCAGTTGCTTTGAAGCTCAATCAAGGTAAGAAACTCCTATGGGCATTAACTTGTGACATTAATGTTTGGCTTGAGTTTCCTATTATTTTTACTCTAAATTATGCTAATTGTTAGTTTTTTTTTACTTTTTCTTTTCACTTATTTTATATGATATTAATATCTCTTTAACAACAAAGTAGTAATAATAAAAAGAAATGGATTCTAATCATTATAATCTCTGTGTCTACAGCATCTTGATGGTTAATATAAGAATCAAGATCCATTTGTAATACAATCAAATTGGAAGATTATTATTAAATTTAATAATGTCTTCCAATGGTTGATCAAATGATCATTTTTTTCTGCTTCTAATACAATCATAATTGTTACACAACAAGAGAAAACTAATTGATGACATTGATCAGCAAATGAAATTACACTAATTAGATGTAGCCAGTAACCGTTATCATAATGATTACCCTTAAATCACAAGATGATCAAGTTAAATTAATGAGATTAAATGTCGTAGTCAAAGTGTTGGATTAGTATCACAATCGTAATCAGTTATCCTCACAGTGGATCCAATCAAAAAGATTATTATTACAATAAGATAGATAATCCAATTGATAGAGTTTAAAGTTGATTAATTAATCAACTAATCATTTGTCACCAATATAATCCAATAGAGTTTGCAATTAGAAAGCAAAAATCTCACAAAATATTTAAATAATTAATTATTTAATCTCTCACAGTGATTGCTTGCCTTTTTTTTTGAATATTCATATTAAATCATTAATAAATAATCAATAGCAATTGAATTTATTGCTCACAAATTGATTACAATTTACTTAATTGCAATTATGTGTCGACCAAAAATAATTTAAATATCCAAATTGATTTAATCACTGCAATCAACAAAAAACAACAACAAAACACAAGGTAAAAAACTGTTAAAGCAATTAAATGATTTACATAAAATTTTAATATCAAATTAAAACTGAATCAATTGATATTTTCCAATAATTCATTACGACTGAATCACCATCATTATCATCATCATCATCATGATAATCAGTCAGAATGTGATGAGAAAAATAAAAACAAAAACTCTGATCAATATGAGAGAAAGATATTAAAATATAATAACCTTTTTCTTCATGAATATCTAACAGTTATTTTCAAATGGATTTCAATAAATCAGGATTAGTGGACTTTATCATTAAACTAATATAATAACTTTTAAAATTAATCAGATTCAAATTCAGATTCTGAATGTTTTCTTTGGTGTAGTAAATGAGTTTTATATATTTTCTTTCATGGAAAAGTAAAAAACAACAAAAAAAAATAATTTCCTTTTTTACTTTATTTTATATTCATTTTTTACTAATGATATTTTCTTTGCTTGTATTCATAAGTATTATATTATATTGAGGAACTCATGGTGAATTATTGTCAGAGTTTTTTGAAAAAGCATCTTCATCATCATGTTTATCAGGATAATAGGAATTGATATTCAATTGAAATAAATATTAAAACTAAAACGTTGTGATTTATGATTAATTGATTGTTTCATGTAAGCAATATCGTTATTGAAATGATCAACATTAAACGTTGGTGATAATCAGGATGAAAGATTAACTGAATCAATAATTTATCCACAATGAGACGTGATTAATAATTGGAAATACGAGTTTCTAATTAATATAATCTAAATCTATCAATTGATTATTGATTTAAGATAATCTTGTAATGAATATTTAATTAATTGTTGAGTTAATTTAACTTTTTTACTTCTTCTTCTTGTAATCCAATTAACTAATTATTTCTCAATTTAAATTGATTCATTTAAACGATCACTTTGATAACTTTTAGTATCGTTATTATTAATATCAAATTAGTTGATTGTCCTTTGCCACATGAACTCGTGAGATTAACTTGAGATTGTATTGATTAAGATTAGATTAACAATTAAAAGCTATTGGAATTTTTTTTCTCTTCTTTAGATTATTAGATGAAGATGATACGATAATGATGGTGATGGATTATTGGATTGAATTAATACTCAGAATTGTTCATTTCTTTTTGCATAGAAAATTGAAACAAATTTTGTTGATTAATCAGAACGTGGATTGAAACTGTTGATTTGGATAATTAGTTAAGATGAAAGATCATTTTCTAATCAATGGAAATGGATTAGAATGACAATGTTGGTGTGATAGGAAATACGACAAAAATTATGATGAATTATGATGATGGTGATGATGATTAAGATGAAATTGAGATAATCCGAGAGAAAATTTTTCACTTTGATCATTACACTTTTTCATTGATGAGACATTCAAGGAAAACGGAAAATAATTTATCAATTAAACTTATCGTAAATATGACTAACCTGTAGTAAGGATGATGATATGGATTAAAATGATGAGAATCCATTATCTATTAAAGTGTTGATTGATTATGAACATACACCGATTAAATCACTTTAATTGTTGATTCCAATGAAGAAGGTAATTGAACAATCGTATACATGGACATAACGATGATGGGATGAGAGAGAGAGAGAGAGTGATTGTGGTGAGGTGGAGTAGGAGTGTGTGATGATGATGATGAAGGTAATGTTAACGATGAGGAAGATGATGATGATGATGATGAGGATGAGGATGAGGATGATTATGTTTAACTGAAAGAAAGGTTAATGCGCAGTTGAATTTGTTGTTGTTGTTTCTGTTGTTTTTTTGTTTTGTTTTTAGTGATAATGATAATGATGATGATGATGATGATGCAGATGATGATAATAATAGTAAATATGGAGGAGGTGGAGGCGGAGTTGGAGGCGGGGGAGGAGAGCTCACTCAATACCAATCGTAATTGATTCAGTTCTACAGCGCAACCTAAGCCCAACCCTTCAGATCGAGAATTCATTTTGTGAGCATCGGTTTTGAGATGATGAAAATTCTGAGTAACATGATGATAAGAATTCATTTATTCATCCTGTTCTATGAGAGAGAGAGAGAGAGAGAGAGAGAGAGAGAGAGAGAGAGAGAGAGACTATTGGTAATAATTAAATAATAGTATTCAAATTGTTCAGGAATTAGTGATTAATCTGATTAGTGTAATGAAAAAAGAGATGGTTATAGTTTAATTGCAATTAACATATAAATAAATTTAAATCAATTACTCAATCTTTAATGACGATGATAATAATTTAGAGAAATCATTTAATCATTAATAAATTGTCAATATAATGATGATAATTTTGGCTTAATCAGGTTAATGACAATTATCATTTGCAAGATATGATTTGAATCACTTTGTGATTTTGCTACTGGATTAAAACAATAAATCAAAGTTAATTTTTAACTTTTTTTCTGTAGTTAGTTAATTCAGTGAACCTTTTTTTTTACTGTATTAATAATCAGCTTTGATGATTTCTTATTGTTTAAACAGTTGATGATTATAATTGATTATGATTTCATGCACCATTACAAAATACACCTTCAACAATTAACAATATTGACACTATCAGTAGTTACAATCAGTTTAACAACAACAATTAACAAATTTTTGTATATGTTATATCAAAATCACAATTGAAAACATGATAAATGATGTTTACCTTTTTAATTAGCATCTCAACTGATGATGATGATGATACTATCTAATTATATGGTAAGAGACAATGATGATGACCATTGTTGAAGATAATTCAATTTTAATTACTTTATTAACTGTATTGATTGATTTAGAGTGAGAAAGGGACAAAAAATAAATGATCTAAATCAATATAAACTACTTCCTATTAGATATTATCATTAGCATCATCATTATCATCAAGGTAAACCTTGTTAATAACAATTTAATGTATGTGGATTTACATTATTGATTGTTTTGGTTGGAAAAATATGAAAAAAAAGGTCTGATAATTTATTGATTATTAGATGTCAAACTGTCAATAATGAGATAATAAAGTTGTCAAAAAAAAGATACAAGGAAAAGTTCATTACCATGATAATATTTGTATTACAGGGAAATGAATGAGAGAGTAAGTGAGATATTATGAGTGAGTGAGTACGAGAAAATCATCAAAGTAGATCAAATGATTTCTCTCTCTCTCTCTCTCTCTCAACTTCATCATTTACCTTTACATTGGTCAGTTTATCATGATCATTATAAATTTTATCAGTTGGAAGCACAAACAACATAATTTACAACATGGTCAACATCATCATCGTCCTCATCATGTGCAATTACTTTGCATATGATTGCAGTTTAATCGAGATGATCTTGATTACTATGATGAAGATATTAACAAATCCATGGAAACAAAAGTTAATCACATAAATGATTCCATTATCACCTATACAGAATTGAATATTTTTACCAAACAATTAATGACACTCTGATTGTTGATCCTCTTATATAAACTAGAATGTAATTTAAACGATAGTTAATACATGATACCATTAAAGGTACTTGATTAATTACCATCTAATCAATCAACAACAACAAAAAAACACATCAACATTGCTGCTGATTGTTTGATTTGAGTAACAATAAGCTTAATGAGTATGTTAAGTTTACCTTTCTTGTTGTTCTTTAGGTGTTAAATGAGCATTAAATTCAATTAATTACCTCAACATGAACTTTGAAAAAGTTTCAATTCATGAGAAATGGGAGTTAAATCATTTGTCAATATTTTATTTTTATCCAAATTTAATTTTAATTTTATTCAAGTTAATCACTTTTCGAGTAGTTTAATTTTTTTCTTCATCTCTCCAAAACCCATTTCATCAGCATCTTCATCATTATAATTAACATGATATTCACTTTAATAGTAAATTCTGTTAATTATGGTGAATCAAGTTGATTAAGTGTTTGAAAGGAGGAGTTGATAAGTAATCACAATTTAATCTTGTATCATCTTTTGTTATTTATTACTTCATTATCCTTATCCTAATTATCAGATTATAATAATATAATGCTAGTCAACAGATTAATCATTGGAATCAAAATATTGTTAATTGTTTGACAGAGAAAGAAAATTAAACAAATTTAACCAGAAATAAACATGATGATGATCAAATAATAATAGACAAATGTCACAAGGTTGTCACATATTGATGAGAGATAACAAATAAAGAATCACCATGAAAAACTGAATCAGACTCATGAAACACTCAAGACATGACACTATGTAATTAATGGTATTTTATCGGATTGATTTAAGGTAACTAATAAGGGATCATCTTGATTGATGAGGATGATCATGATACTACTAAATGAAAAGGTTAGTGGAAATGTTAATTGAAACTTTGTGTGCGTGTAGTTTGCATAAAGTGAAACAATATTTGCTTATCCACTTTACCTTTACATGTATTTGTGTATATTGTTACAAGTAAATCCATTTGCATGGATCAGTATATGTATTTTTTGTTACATGTGGTTAAGCCATTTACCTAATCATTGAACCATAATTCAACTCAGCTTCAGGTTCAGTTGTATGTACATTCAGATTGTACAACTTTTTGCTAGGTGTTAGCTTAACCTTACTACTTTTTCAATGATATTCAATGTTGATTAATGTTAATCCAATTGAGACTCTCTTTTTTTTCATATATAATCATTAAGTACATTAAACCAATTACCATAACTTGCTTTCACCATAGAGATTAATTAATTAACATACTACATTTTGTATGTATGTACATTTATTGGTATCACTTTCCTTTTTTTTTGCATGATAAATACTGGTGAATCTATTAATTCAATGGGTCAATAGATTATCATTAGTGTTACACTAATCAATTTACAGTCTTAATTGTAAATATTGCCACATAATCATAATAAGTGTATATCGATTGATTAGTTAACTATTGTGTATTTAACTTGTGAATAAGATTATTGTTACCATTGAATCCTAATCTTTTACATGAATATTTTACTATTAATCGTTCACCTCGTACTTGTTTACTAATATTATCTTTCCCTCAGATCATGATAATTTCATTCATGATTCAGATTATCCTCTCATCTTCAAGGAACTCTCTCTCTCTCTCTCTCTCTTCCTCATCTTCCGATGATAGAGAAAGTCATAAAAACAATCGCCCATTCATGTAAATGAGACTAAATCATTTTGTTTTTATTTCCATGTTTTCATTACACTGATTAAACTTCACACAATTAAAGTTTTTATAATCGTAATCATGTAACTAATTTTGGTTTTTTTTTCTTCTTCTTCTGGATAACCAATGGATAATTATAACAATTTAAGATTATCACTGGGAGAAAAAGGTTCACAATTAACGATAATTACAGTTACATTGTTACTAAAGATTGAATAATTAGCCAATTAGTATATCTAAAGCTAATTTTTAATCATGTTTCTTGTTGACCAGTAAAAATAAAATAATGCTAATAAGTGATAACCATTATTTCAATTATCATGATGGTATTAAAGACAATTTAAAACAATTAACATTACAATAATCCCTTTTCCATTAATACAGCCTAAGGAAATGAAATATCAAAATGTATTAATGACTAAATTGCTGTTAATTGTATATGTTGATTGTTTAGTAATCTGAAAAGCAAAAGCCGAAATCATTATCATGATTAGTTGAAAATCAATAATTCAAATTGAACAAATGAAGATAATGATTAATTAATCTTCCATTGGACATTATTAAATTTTATCTCAATCACCAAATGACCTCTAAAGGTTATTATCATTGTCTCTTGAGATTTAAATTAGTTTTAATTATCTCAATCATGGATTGAAATGTAAATATTAAATTAACATGGATTCTTGAATAATGTAGTTAATTGTTATCATTAAGAGACTGGAAGCAATTAATTGCCACTATTAACAACAATTAGACTACGATTGTCTTTTTTTTAATACTTCATAACAATTAGGAAGAGTAAAAAATGATATAATTTCTTAATCTAATTAACTGAATTTAGTATATCTTTAAACTTCATTATCATGATTAAGTTTAATATCTTTTAATTATGTTTGATATTTTTAACTCTTTTTTTTCTGCTAAATTAATTGCGCTAAATTATAATGAAAATTTTGATGATTAAAATTCAGTTAATATGTATAATCATCTTGATGGTAGATTGAGAAAAGAAACAGAGCTAATTAATTTCCATCATTATCAACATGGAAACGATAATGATAACGGTTAATCATGTTGATTGACTCGTGGCTTTTAACTTTGGTTGATGTATCCTTTCAATGATTTAGTTGATTGTTTGATGAAAATTTGATTATAATGATAAGATTAAGGTGAGAAAATTGATCAACGTATTCATGTGTTGAAACGTAATCATGAATCTCCATGAGATATAATAGCTTCCTGATTAATTAATCACTTTACCTCAAAGTTAATTGAAAAAAAAAATAGAATTGATTAGAAATTTTTTTTGAAACTTTTCTAATCTGTGATGATAATTGATAATGAATATTATCTAATTATCGCAGATGATTATAGATGATCTCTTGTCTTCTCATGTTAATTGTTATGATTTTTTGATAACGATAATGATGAACTAACCCTGAAGGCTTTTACTCTCTCTCTCTCTCTCTCTCTCTCTCTCTCTTACCTGACGATGATTCTGTTAAATTAAATGTAAACAACTAATTCAACCAGGAGCCTCTTTGTTATACATATTTTAATTTAAATTTTGCATCCTAATTGTTGATA